AAGGAAAAGGAAAAGGAAAAGGAAAAGGAAAAGGAAAAGGAAAAGGAAGATTATAGAGAAGCAGCTTCCAACCTTCTTGACAGCGGTTATAAATACATTTATATTTTACTTTCTCTCTCTAAAGTTACATCATAATTTCCTTCTTTCCATAGCCTACCCTTCCTAATCTTCAAACCCATAAATCACAAGTTCATCTTTCTCTTTTTTCAGCAAAAAGTCCATAAGGGGTTTTCGGTCACTAATAAATGTGGTTGTTGATCTTTCTCTAATCAAACAGGTTAATTTGGCCACCTCTGCTAGTTACGTCATCTTGACCAACCATTCCCTCTTTGTGGGTGTTTCAGAGTCTTTCCACTTTTGCACATATAATAATCTCACAGCAGTAATCATATATAAGAATAATCTTCCATGGCTCTTTCCTTGGGGTTTAAATAAAAATCGTTTTACTGACATTTGGCCTTGACTAAATGCATCAACATAAGAATTGCTAATATATGGCTTTGGTCTATCTATACAAATGAAGTTAAGACTGAAAATGTTGGATGTGGACGATTAACATTTTGCATCTCTCCTTAAGGTTATAATTGCATGTATACAAGTTATCCTCCCAAATTTTGTTCTTTCCCCCCTTTTGAATAGTTTCTATTTGTTGTTGTTCTTATGTTGTTGCTGATGTTCAGTGTTGTGTCAATCACCTTTTACACAGCTGATTGTCTTTAATTTTTCTAAAGGTGAGTCCTCCTCTTAACCTGCAAGTACAGAACTGTCCTCATGTCAGGATTTTTGTAAAACCACTTAACAGCACTGCATGGGGACACAGAGCTTGTCTGGAGACTTCCTTGTGTCTTGCCTCCAACCTATATCTGACGGTCAAGCTGCAGTGCTCTGCTCCTTGTCATCTGTCCAGCCACAGTCACAAAGGAAAGACTGTGCTAGATCTTTCTAAATTATAGCCCAAAACAAGCCTTTTCTCCCCCTTCTCCTCCTCCAACTCAGCCACAAGGATTTGGAAGGATTCTCTTCCTGTATTTTATCTGCTGCGGTGAATTTCGACCCTTCCACGTGTCTCACCTTCTTACAACCTTTCACAAACCTTGTTTTTCACTGGAACTGTCATGCCTCCATCACGACTGATTTTATTTTTCTGCATTTAAAAAAACACTGTTTGTCTTTTTTTAGCCTCCGCCATCATGCAGCAACTTCTGTCTCCTACCAGTCCCAAAAGAGGTATATCGCTCAAAGTGTCTCGCTTTCCGTCTTCGTTTGACAGCTGATCCTTAGTAAAGTATTAATCACCTTCTTATCTACAGTGGCTTCCTTTCTCTGACGACTAATAGTTTCCAAACTTAATTCTCGCTTGCCCTGCAGTCAAGTCTCTGCGCTTTCGGTCTTTCCGAGCTGTCCTTGCAAATCACTGTTGGTTCCTTCCAAAGTTCAACCTTAATTTTCTACTGCTGAAATTTAGATGGATCTCTTTTTACGGCTTTGCTAGAATCTGTAAATTAATGAAGGATTGTGCTTTGTGCTCCCTTTCAGGAGACTATGTATTTTCACAGTGACAAATTCTAATTTGCCTTCCTACTTTGCTCCGAAAAGTTCTTGTTTCATTCTTGCAAGGATTGCATTGAAGATTTGTGTTTTTCATAATTATTCTGTGGACTTCCAAATGAGGTTTCCTTCAGATTGTTTTCCTCTAGAATAACAGCATATTGTAAAGCAATTTATTATATGTATATGTGTGTGTGTGTGTGTGTGTATATAAACAACAATCGCATACGTTATTCGTCTATTTTTGTCATGTACACCACCCTACAAAGGCTCTTTCCTGGAAGCTAGTCAAGAAATAAAGTAATAATGAATAAATATATTCATCTATCTTTAGGGTAGTGACTTACAGCTACAATTTGACTCCCTTTGGTGTCATTGTAATGCATGTACATAATACAAATTTAGAAAAACACTAGGGTTTTTTACAAAAGGTTTGCAACTAGACCACATATAGGAAATGAATCACATTTAAAATCCAGGATGATCTTTTATACCAGTAAATGGCCTTTGTACTTGTAGGATCACAAAAGTTATTTTACCAGCTTTTCCCTGGACATACTGATTTTAAATCAGGGATGGCCTAACACGATCTGGTTACAGTTTCCTTGCAAGAAACAGAAAATGGTTGCAAAAAGGTGCCAGATAGCATACTTCTGAGTTTTGTGGGGGAAACAAACACTCAGGTTATGGTCAGGGGTACTGCCAGCTTCTTAATGGAGTATGATGGAGCAAACTGCTCCCCTGGTGAACCGAGCGGTGAAGTAAAGAGGGAGCTGCTGAAAAATGATTTGTTTCCAGCCATGCTCCAGAGGTAACCTTGTTCCAGCCGGGGCATTGTTAGGAAAAGGAACAAGGGTGCAAAAAGAAAACAGTGTCTGTTTCTTTTGAAAGAACCCCACTATTTACAACCACATCCTGGCCTGAGATTCTAGCAATGACTCCAGGAAGAGCCAAACCAGGATCTTCCAGGCTAGGCACAAACCACACCTTGATGCCTTCAGACCCTGGAATGACTCTCCTCGCCCTGGACGGGGTGCCTCCGCTATTGCCCTGGGGAAATACAACAGAAGAAGGGCAGCTCCTGAGCCAGAAGGCAGCCCTTCCAGCGCAAAAGAAGAGGATGACTCTGAGCATCCTCAACCTTGGCGAAAGGGGGAGGCTTCAGCCCTCCAATAAGAAGCTGGGGGGTACAGATGTCCCATTCAGGAGGAAATGCTGTCTAGATCTAGGATGTTTTCCTTCTTCAAAGAATCCATTGCCTCCACTGGTCATCCTGTTGAAGGACATTTTTAGAAGGGCCCTCTTACTGTATCTGCTCTATTGCCATATTCCACGGGCACCAGATTTCTTTCCACTTGAGTCCATGCTGGGGCCCAGATGCCACCAGGTAAAGGGAACCAATGTTATCTTTCCTGTATCTGAAACAAGAAAACCTCCCCTTCTTAATCCAATAACCCTGGAGCTGGCTTTCTGATGTTATAAACGCTCTACAGATATGCTAACAATATTTGATTTTCTCCTTTTTAAAATGTTACCCTGTTCCTTACAATGCAAATATTGAAAGGGCCTATTAACTGTATGAGGCTGGTAGGTGGTACCTCTCCATGCTTTCTTCTGGAGCTTCCAAGGAAGAGTTCATCACGTTGTGTGGGAGCCATCATTCTCCAGCTCTTTGCTCAGTCTTGATTTTCTGGTGAATGCATGATCTGCTTTGATTTTAGAGGCCCCGGCCAAGCATACACCTCAGCCCCAGCTTCCCACGGCCCAGCTGTTTACTCAAGCTACAGTGAAGCCGCGGTGCCTGCTTCAAAGCCAAGAGTTGTGACCACTGCGAGCATAAAGCCCTCGGTCTATCAGCCAGGTAAGGGGATTTTGAAGGGTATCCTTGACTACATCTAATAATGCTCATTAAAGGGGGAAAAAGACCCTTCAGAAAGAAGAAAACACAGCACCCTGTTAATCCTAGGATGGTTGGATAGTGGGTCTTTTCACTGTTTCTTTGAATAAATGTAGCAAGCTTTTTAGACATACTGTCATGCATTATGAAGCTGAAGTTTCCTTGGAGTTAAGCTCCTGATAACTTCATGAACATATTTGTATAGTTTCCTTGGGAACAATACAGGAATGATTGCTATTGCCTTCTTCTAGAATGTCCCTGTCTGGTACACATATCTCAAATTTTCTGGTGGTCTCCCATCCAAGTACTAACCATTGTAGAACCATGCTAGATTTTTCTTCAGTCAGCCAAGATCACCCTCAACATGGTTTGGAACTGAAATTCAGCTAGGCAGTTGGCCAAGAGATCCAGGGGTCCAAAAGAGAAAAAGATTCTGGAATCTGGTGCAGCCTTGCCGTACAGTGAAGGAAAAGCTGGGAAGCACACAGCTGTTTCTGTTGTTGGCATTTCCTGAAGGACTCTGCACATCTGAAAAGAACAGGGCTTTTCAAAACAACCACCACAGGCATTTGTTCATATCTCATTGGCCTAACTAGCTATCTTTCCTAACACGGTTAAGAGAATTCTGCATTCCACTGTTTAAGTAAGGCCACTGCTTAATACTTGCTTAAAACAACTTCACACCCTCCTGTTTCTAGAGTTCCTCAGAAATCAGAAGTTTAGTCCTTGTTCACAGAATGGCCAGCAGATGGCAGGACATTCTAGGTTTCCCCCCATGATGATCTCTGAGTCTTTCTGTTTCTAGTAACCAGGATAGGAACCAGTTCAGATGGGTGCTGGCATCCGGGTGGCACAGTCCTTTCATTATTGTAGCACCTCAGAAGAAGACTTAAGCCCTTCCACATTTTACAGAAGTCCTCCCCAGAATAAAACAGTAGAATCCAGACATGGTGGGATGAGGTTCACTTAAGAATAAGGAGAGGATCACTCCTTTGAATGTTCCCTGAGCTGTTCACTGTTTTAACTGCCTGACAGTTAGAAACTCACATAGCAAAGAGCAGGTATGGCTGCAATGTTCCTTACTTATAAGATGATTATTTTTTGTTTCTCTATAGTTTTAAGGAAGAAAAAGCAACTTTAACATTTAAATTAGCATTCTCCGGATAGCCCTTCCTACCCACCAGCTGTAACCCTTTACAGAAATGCTTCTGTATTTACAAATTAAAATACAAATTTACAAATTTTGCAAAATATATTTTGTGTATCTGTATTTACAAAATAAAAATTTACCATTTTTTATTTTGTAAATTTGGGCTAAATTTTTCAAACAAGGGATATTTTTGCTATGGAAGCCCTTTCAAATAAGACTTTCCTGTCAAAGGGATCAGTCCCTTGAGAATTCCTCCATGTTTGAAATGCTTCTAAAGGAGAAAAGAGGGGAATTAAATGAGTTCATTAAAAAGGTCAAGGCCGCTTCAGCACATTTGAATAAATACTATAATTTAGGGTGCAATCTTTTATGCAGATACCTGGAAGGAAACCAATTATTTGGGATCAACTTCCCTTCAGGTATTCCAGCCCTAAACGCAGCTACATTATAAACTTGGAAGAGACACATTCTGGTACAAAGTGTTTCGTAAAGGGATAGCTAAACTTTTCCAGATTAAAACACTAAATTATCAAGCTGAAATTATGGGCCGTTGATCTAAAGAGGCTACAGCCCATTGTCATTTTCCCCATTGGAAAACGACTCAGTTGCAAGTCCTGACTCCATTCCTAGGCTTCAGAAATCTGGGCCCCTTCAGTTTTCCACGAGGAATGGAGTACTAAGGGTGGAGAGCTGGAGCAAAGCTGGCATCAGCAGATCTACTTCCCACCTCTTCACCTTCATGCCTGGTTTGAAAATGAGAAGGAGCGATGCGAAAGAAGCCCCAACAGGTCCAAGCCCTCAGGAGGGAGCAGCATCTAACTGACCTTGCCTGATGCCAAAAGATCAGCCGAGTCAGACCTGCTGCGTGGATGGAGACTTCTAAGAAACGCCAGGCCTCTAGTCTAGATGGGAGGAAGGCACTGCCAAGCCTCCAGGGGTGTTGCAGGGTATGATAAATAAGTCAAGATGGCAGCTGCATTAGTGCAATTGAAGCTCCGCCTGTTAAAAAATGCACACGAACATTTTGTTTTGTTGATTTTGTTATTCATTAGATCATTGTGGTCTGGGCTGTCTGTCTCATTTAATGCTTTTAGCTTCTAGTTCTGTAGTTTCTAGTTCTGCATGCTGCCCAGAGCCCATTGGAGATGGGCGGCCAATACACTTAAACAAACAAATAAATGAATAAATAAAAATAGGCAGAACTCTGACTGCGCCATCACGGCTCCATCCCAACCATTTTCACCGTAGTCCTGCAAACCTCTTATGTACCATGGCCAAGAAAACTGCATGGATATGTCCATAAGTCACAAGGAATCGAGCTCCAGGCGTTTCAGCAGAATAAATGGCAAGCAGACGATGTGTGGCAGGAAGTCCACCAACCGTGAAGTTGAACAGCAGTCATTAGGAAGGGTGGGAGGCACAGAGCAGAGGGTGGGGACCATCAGCACCAACCACACAGCAACAGCCGTATGCCCAAAGGGCTGGGACGAGCTGCATTGCAATGTTGATCCCTGTTCCTAACCTACTATATTCATTCTGGTACTGTGAATTCAGTCTGTGTCTGAAGACCAACCCCCCTGATTTTGCAGGACTCCTGACTGTATAGCAGAAGCACACAGGTTTTATTCCTAGATTTGAAATTGTCATGTACAGGCTGGTGCAAGATTCTGGAGTCCGCTCCCTGCATAAATGATCTTAAGATATAGGAATCAGGGCTTACTGAGTTAAGCATGCTAAAATAAGCAAATCTGGATTCTTCAACCGGAAGACAGAAGAAAAGAATTCTAGCAGATCAAGAAATCATCTTGTTGAATTATCATGTGGCTTAGCAAGGGGGAATCTTTTGAACCTGGCAATTAAAGACAAGATATTGCCCTCCAAAGCTTTGAGTGACTTAATACTGTAAGACATCAAGAGCTTGAGAGTGGGGAAAGGACTTCGTTCGTAGATTTTTAAGTTTTGTTTACTATGTTTGCATGAAGGAAAGAGGCCCTGGGCAAAGGTGGGGATGGAGTGAGGCACAGGAGCTGGTATGAAGGAAGGAAACCAAACCAAACCAAATCAGAAATTAAAAGAAAGCTTTCTGTTAAGCATAGAGCAAAAGGAAGAACAGAGAAAGACAAAACAATGTTCCAAAATTTAATTGTTATTAAAAGCTACACCATGCAACCTATTAGCAATCCAGGATTTAGTCTGCAATTTCTTTGTCTTTTGGTGCTGATGAAACCTTGAAAGTTAGAGCTGAAAAGCATTTTAGAAGATGTTCAAGTCCAGCCTTTTGCTTGATACTGAATTTGCCATGCAACCTCTATTCCATTCCACCCAGGGAAAGGAAGCCCACCAAGTTCTGGGTCCTGCAGAATTAGACACTGTCATAAAACCTGGGTCCACTAAACCAGCAGCCAAGTGGAGCCTCCATGTTCAGAGGCTGTTATATCCAGTTTCCAGAGTAGGAAACCAGAGTTATGAATGCTAATGCAACTTTTATCTTCATGAGAACTAGGGAAGGTCAACTCTGAGATGCTTCCTCAGGTACAGTTCTGGCCCGGACTCAGATTTCTTTTATCTGACCTTTGTCTTGGTTGCAGCTCTTCCTCCTGTTCCTCAAGGTTATTCCTTCTTCCCATTACATTAGGGCACCTTTTAGGGTACTACATTTTCTCAGGGTGGAAAAAAGTGCAACATTAGCCACTGGAATTAATGAAAGTTAGTGGCTATAATACAGTGAAACATGTACTAACTAGGTGTGAACAACAACAACAAAAGAAGCCACAGAAGGAAAGGATAGCTGAACATTACCCAGTTATTGGTAGTTACTTTGCCCTGGACATCCCAGCTGCTAGGAGATAGAGATATTAGAAAAATAACGTAAAAGCCCAGTACAATGCCATTGGATTTCAGAAAGGATCATATTCTAACCCTATGGATCATTTCTGAGAAACAGCGGAAGAGATCAGTAATCCACCAGACAATACTACAGTTGTCCCATCAAGAAGAACCAGACCATCTCAGAAGGAAATGTTCTTGGAAGGGGACTAGGGAGTCCGTCAATGAAGGAAGAGGGAAATAGTGGGGCTTCCGGGAGAAAGACAAGTTTCCAAACTTTTTAATAGAAAAAAAGAGACAGGATAGAGGAGTCAGGAACGGTGCCATGGGGGAGATGAAATATTTTCCATTTAGGGAGATTGATCTTCCAGCTGTCCTCCTTACAAAACAATTGTGCAAGGCAATACATACAAACTATAGGCTTGGAGAGTTGGGAATTTCTTCCAACTTGTTTCTTTCTGGGGGGGAAAAAAACATGATATCATTGCAGTCCAACTCTGCTCTTAGCTCCAGAGAAGAAAGGAGAAGAAAAGTCAGACTGAGAGGAAGCCACTCTTGGCCATTGCTGGTTGCTAAGGTTATGCGCTGCTCAACTTTTTCTAGACTTCAGCAGCACAATATCCAAGGTACTGCCATATTTGGTCACCAGGAAGTCAGGAAATTTCTGCAGAGAAATGCCTTAAGTCTACCATAACCCTCACTATGTTATGTTTCCACAAGGATGTTTCACTTTTTTTCCAAATAAAGTCTAATGGCTGCAGGGTTGATATAGATGACCTTGTTAAAGATAGCCAAAACAGGCTAAATAAATGGTTCTTGTAGTTTATTTGGCTCCAAAGACAGAGGATTATCCAATATCCTGGGTCTGCTGCAGCATCAGATTTTGAAAACGGGCTAAGCAGCATTAAGGTCGTCTGAGGCTGCTGCGGTGTGAAGGGGAAAGTCCTGATGAATATTGTGGTTTGCAAAAGCAAAAAATGAAGATTGTTAAATGAAATTTCTTGTTTACAGCAGCTCCAGCACCAGCCCCACCATCAATGTCCACACATACCTATACTTCAAGCCAAGCTGAGCCTGCAAGTCGCCCACCCTGGATCACAGATGACTCATTCTCCCAAAAATTTGCTCCTGGAAAAAGTACAACCACCATCACTAAGCACATTCTGCCAAAGGGTGCTCCGGTGCCCCCATCTTCAGCCCCACCTCCCTCAATTCCTGCGTCTGTCCAAGCTCCTGCTATTGCCCGGGGGACAATCCAAAGAGCAGAACGTTTCCCAGCCAGTAGCCGGACTCCACTCTGTGGGCACTGTAACAGCATCATCAGGTACGTCCATCACGTTCTTCTGTGTAAGGGGAAGGAGAATCACTGCACCCTGGGGGAGCACAGTTAACTTTATGCCGGGACCAGAAGGAGACTGAAGATAGTGGACCAGCTTCCCTAGAGAAAGTGTTTTTATGGACAGTCTCCACCTGTACCATTCAGCCCTTGAAAAGCAGAAACTCTGTTCTGGGGCACATACTAGATTCATGTTGGACATCGAAGATGGCTTACACATTTTTCCCCAATCTGATCACTCCCAAGGTGCTGAACTACAAACTCCATTATTCCCAACACAGCTGGTTGTCCAGTTTGGAGAAACAGAAATCTTACTGGTGGCCATCCCAAACTAGCGTAGAGTTTTCTGCAACATTGTCTTTCAGCTAGGAGGAAATAGATGAGTTCAGGGGTTCCCAGAAGGATGGAAGTTGGAAAACCTTCCAGTTAGAGCAGTTTACATCTTGAGGCCGGGCTAGATGTAATTTCCAGAGATAACATCCTGTTTTTGCTGTAAATAGAATGTTATCGGATTTCATGTTTTAAATCGGCAAAGATTCCTGTATGATAGTACATACTTTATAGTGATTGAAATAAATAAAACATAAAGGTGAAAAAAGAAAGTAAGGAAAAATGAAAAGAGGATGCGTAAGATATCAAAATAAAGTTAATTCAATCCTTAAACTTATTCAGTCTAGACCATATAAACACATATGGTTCCATCTTCTCATTTTTTATTATTGACTAAACTTCACCATAATTTTTAGCATCTGGTTTCCCTGCAACATCTGTTTTTTGGTCAACACTTAAAACCAAGACATTCTTTCCAAGGGCCGTTCTCACAGAGTCCTTTTCAGCAAGATTTGTTGAGAAAAAATGGATGGAGTTCCAAGAATTCCAGCAACTGAACTATTTCCTATCTACAACCAATATACCCCTGTGTGCATCAGGGAGGAGACTTTCTGAGTCTCTTCCTAACAGCCTCCTAAGAGCCGGTGAGGAGGTGGATGGTTTCACCACCTCCTGGCTGTCTGCAGAACGATCTCCTGGATCTTTATCAGCCTGGGAACCAGCCATCACAGGTGGCCTCTTTGACAATCACCATGGCTGCCTATTTGTCACACAGTATGAGTGTGCAGTAATGTGGATCCAAAGTAAAAGGGTGTTTCAGAGCAGATCAGATGATGCCTCTGTGCTACTCCTTAATGCGGTAATATGTTTCCTGGAATCATGCCTCCTGCCCCTATAGTAACAGCATAATCCAGAGAACAGACGTGTTTGATTCCAGGCAAAGCATAAGAGTACGTCTTCCCCTCTCTGAGGCTGGTATACAGTATATTCAAGGATGTCTGTCTGCTTAAGTCCTAATGAAATCAATGACTCCTTAAAGCAGTGTTTCTCAACCTTGGCAACTTGAAGACGTGTGGACTTCAATGCCCAGAATTCCCCAGCCAGCCATTCCACCTTTAATGGAATCTGCATCTAACTTTCCTGCCTAGGAACTCGAGGGTCAGTGTCATTTCTATTTTACAGCACAACCGAGTGCAGATACTGCCCGATCGCTCCTTTCAGCTAATTTAATAGACATTCCTTCTCTGCAAGAAACTGAGAATTGTTGTTCAGAGGAATGTTTGTCTCTGAACAAAGACTCTTGTGGCATTTTAGATGAGCAAATTCTAAAGCAGAAGCTTTTTACGGATTAGACACCTGTTCACGAAGGATGGAGTCTGTAGATGGGTATACAGGGGGCAATTGTAAATGGGGACAGCATTTGGCTATACAATATCAAAATAATACTAAAATAGAGTGTGTATGTAATATGTAAAATAAACCCAGTGGGTACTTCCAGACATGGCTTTTCTTATGCAGTGTCTATGCCCTATTAATGGAATTTTATAAAGGAATCATTTGAAATTATCCCCATTTGTAACTCCGCCATCTTTTCCTACTATATTGTTGTTGTTTTCTGAAAAAAAGAAAAGAAAAATCTGTTAAAGAATGGCTGTGATTGATTGCACTAGCAGCCCCCATCTGAAATCCCGCAGTGGCCATTCAGAACGATGGTGGTCGATGGTAATGTCGTTGTTGTCTCGGGTTTGCTCAATTTGGTTGACCCTCCCTCTATATTTCACCCCTTCCACTCCCAAATGCAGACTGAATTGCTTCTCCCCCACTAGTCCCTGGAAAATGGCATTTTGTACTTTTGATCAAGTGGATTCTAGTCCAAAAGCTTGGTTAGTCTTTAAGGTTTATGTAAAAGGGGGGTTTCTGTGTTTTGTCAGACTAACTCCTAGGAGTCATTGGAACAGGCCCATACAGGCAAGGGATGGAAAAGCAATATACTTTTGATTGTGCTTGATTCATTCTTATAGGGGGCCCTTCTTGGTAGCCATGGGTCGCTCTTGGCATCCTGAGGAATTCAACTGTGCTTACTGCAAGACCTCTCTGGCCGATGTGGGCTTTGTGGAAGAACAGAACAGTGTCTACTGCGAACGCTGCTACGAGCAGTTCTTTGCCCCAACCTGCGCTAGATGCCATACTAAGATCATGGGGGTAAGTCCACAAGCAAACCTGGAGGAATCCTGGCCAAATTACGCCTATGGGGAGAGTCAAGCTACCAGATATGGGCTGCAAAGGTTCGAATGACCACCACGTGGTAGTAACGAGATAGAGAAAACTGTAACTCCCTGCTTCTATGTAATGGTCGTCTGACCTTTGGAAGCCCAGGTCTGGCCATTCTCCAGATGTAAAATTTCAGTTGCAATGAACCCCAGCTAGCAAAGGGATTGAACCTGAAGTTTCATCATCTCCATCAACTCATGAGCATGGGCTGTACCAGAAGAATGGACAGTGGCTTAGAAAACAAGGAACAAGGAACTCTCTTGCCCATCAGTTGAGAATCAAGGCAGGTCTTGGCTTCCATCTGCTGTGCGATACCGAGCACACGCTGTCCATTTTCCTTTTTAGAGTTTCCCGTAAACTAAGCAGGATGACCTGCAAACTTAACCTAAGCTCATCGTTTAGGTTGCTGTGCAAACACTCATTCAAGTTAATTAGACTTATTAACAGTGACTCACCAGTGAGACATCTTGCTAATATAAAATGATACTAGGGTTTTGTCAAGAGTATGTGAGAGGGAGGGAACGTCAGATTAAATTATGTAACACCACTGTAACTAGGAATTAAAAATCTAGAGAGAAGAAGCCTCGTAAACCAATTGCTCAATAGACAAACATTCATACACAAATTATCCCAGTCCCATTCAGTCCTGATTTTCCCTGACCATTTGAACCACTTTGCCTCAAAGTGGTGTGTTCAAATGTATTAAACGTCCACTATTGCCGTTTTGCTGTTTTTAAGCGGGCATTCACAGGATCATTGGAAATGCAGAATACTGCATTTCCAGCCCCAAAATTTCTCCCATGTGGATATACCTGTAAGTCCCCAATCCCTTTTAGATTAAAACAGCCAGCTTAAGCACACTTTTTGAAGGGTGAAATGAGGTCACACCATCTTTCTCCATCTAATGATTTCCCGGTGCGCTTGACTGTAAACTCCATGAACCCTAGACAGCTCAGCCATTTCACTAGGGATGATGGAAATTGTAGTCCACCACACCTGGAGAACACCTGATTACTCCAGGTTGACCTGCAGGAATTCCATATGAGTTGCTCAGTCTTTTTATTTTCTTTATAGAGGGGAAATAATCACTGCTCAACGAATTAGCCAGTTGGTACAAAAGCTGGCCATCCCTCTGTTCCTTTCCCCAGGACGGCATTTCCGCAAATTCACCCACTTCTCCCTTTGTCTTCCAGGAGGTGATGCACGCTTTGCGTCAAACTTGGCACACCACTTGCTTTGTTTGTGCTGCCTGTCGGAAACCGTTTGGAAATAGCCTCTTCCACATGGAGGACGGAGAGCCCTACTGTGAGAAAGGTGTGGCAAAGTTCCTCAATAGGTTGATGGTCTCAGTTCTTTCCAAAGAAAACATGGTCAGGCTGGATACCTGCTCCTTCTCTACCCCTTCCATTTATTCTTGCGTCTTGCGAGTATTGCCAGATCGCCTTCATGGGCAGCCAATTTTCTGTTAGGGTGGACTTCCAAACTGCAAACCTGCATATTGCTTCAGTCTCCTCTTTTTATCCTTTTGCTCTTTCCCATCCCCAAATTTGCAGGACCTTGGACTTTTCGGGGCCCTGTTTTGCTCGCAGTGACTTTGAAAAGTGACCGCTCATTTGCATTTACTGTCCTAATGCCAGATGCTCTCAAGGGACAAAATGTGAAGCCCTTGTAGAGGGACGTTTGATTCCCAGAAACCATTATGACATGGCCATACAATTTTCTTGACAGTAATATGCCACTCTCTTACTCTTGGATAGTTTTTCAACTTCTGTAAATTCGGTCCTGGGATTTCCTGGTGGACCCATCCAAGTACTAACAAGATCCAATCCTGTTTGCTTTTTCGTTTTTGTTTTGTTTTTTGCAATCAGCCAGTTGGCGTCCATCTGGCTGGGCATTCCTAAGGACATAAAGAGTTAAAAAGAATGAAATTAGCACATTTGGCCCTGGAGTTGAAAATCAAAGTTTGCCAAATCTGGGGATTACAAAAAGGTAATTACTGCTCTAACACCACTAATATTTGGTGTGGAGGATGTTGGGACAAGCCTATGAACCATAATATTCATTCTATAAATGGTTGCATTTGCAGTCGTGGCTCTGGTGTTGCCTCACCAATCATGTTCAGCCTTGCCCTTCTTCCCACGAGTTCCCCACACATCCTTATTTACTTTCACAACTGCCCTGTGAAACACCGTAAGGTTGGTCAGGCCGAGAGAGATCATCTGGCTGATTTTCCCCCACTGACCGCTGTAAGACAGCAGGATTTGAAACTAGTTCTTCCTGCTCCTAGTCTAACACTCCAACCATCGTGCCACACCAGGGAAGTCAACCCATTCAAAAGCCATTCCAGAAACTTTCACAAGGTTCAGGAGAAATGCAAGCAAAAACAATCCCACTGCTTTTTACCCCATCAGAAGAAGACACTGACAAGCCACTTCTGTCTTTTTGCCCCAAAACTACATGAACATGTCTATGACACCACCAGGAATCAAGTTTGACTCAGGGAGGATTTAATATGTTTATTCTAGGACTTCTTATGTTCTAAACCTAGATTTTTCTCTTTTGTATATATTCTTTTAGACTACGTTGCCTTGTTCAGCACCAAATGTCATGGATGCGACTTCCCTGTGGAGGCTGGGGACAAGTTCATTGAAGCCCTGGGTCACACCTGGCATGACACCTGCTTCATTTGTGCTGTAGGTATCTTCCCAAGACTGGTGGGTGGGTCGCAGCACAAACACACAAGTGTAGATACCCGAGAGAGGGTCCAGGTGCCTTCTAGATGTTTCAAACTGAACCCAACACCCTTGAGTTATGGCCAACCTGCCAGGGGCAAGAGGTCACGTAAGATGTTCTTCAAAACATATAGAAGAAACCAGGTTGCAGTGCTGGAATGTGACAGGAGGTAGATTTGGATAATATTCATCTGGCTCGGTTTGGTCATTTGGAAAGAAATGACTGACTTAAAAAGTGCATCAGAACCCAAATTGTTTTGCGCATTTAATGCCAACCCATTAAAGAATGTTCCTTGGGGTAAGTCAATAATTTTCTGAAGAAATTGCATGAAGGAATCATATCAACAGCATGCACAGATATCTCTCTTTCTCTCACTGCCTGAAACAGTATCATGGGGGTTCAGCATGTCTTAAGTTAGATTGCTCTCCTTGGCTGATTTTGCAGAACTGAATGAAATGTAGTGACTCCAAATCTCACCTTCTCTGATTCAATTCCACATTCGTATATCTTTCATTTGCAGGTGTGCCATGTGAATTTGGAAGGTCAACCATTTTATTCGAAGAAAGATAAGCCATTGTGCAAGAAGCACGCTCATGCCATCAATGTCTAAAGAAAGACCTGGAAGTTAATAATGAAGTGAAAAGTTTGGGGGTTGATTCAACAAATAAAATAGAGATAACTATGGATTTCTGATGATAGGGAGGGGGAATGGGAGATCATGAATTATGGACGCTTCTAATTATGCTTTTGTATGTGCAGATCTGTCTCTTGCACACAAAAGAGTGAACGAATATTCATAGTTTGACAGTCAACTTTGGCTGCAAATGCCTGAGCAAAATGAACAAAAAGGGGAGGGGGGATAGTTTCTATGTAAGCATACTGGCTAGGAGAGGCTTAGCCTAGTAAAACCCATTAGTGTTAAAAAATAAATAGAATCCTCTCTTAGTATTATAACACAGCTCAAAAATGCCAAATTACCACGGTAGCATAATGTTTTAGAGTCATAGTCTATTGTGATGAGTCAATTAAGTATTCCTCACCAAGCCAACCGAGATATATTCCATTGTTTTGTGTTGTGACTCTTCTTCACACTATTTAGATACGGGATAACTTTTAGATTAAAAAATTTAGGCCACATAGAATGAACTAAAAACACCCCACAGACTGTTCCAATCAAAGCTTGAATCCAAACGCAACTGAAGTCCCCTCTGCATTTCTCCGTAGTGACCCAGTTCCTTTGTATATAGGTGTGGGTTTCCTGCATAAAAATTGTGCTCTTTCCAAGCTGGTAAACTTTGGTGATAAAATCAGTCACATCCTGAATCTTCTCATCAAGAATGCAGTGGCAATTGTGAATGGCTCTTGTCTCATTCACACATTTACTACATCCCCCTAGAGGAGAGCTGTTAGAACATGATTCTCAAAGGACTCTGGATGTGTGTGGACCTCTGGCTTGTGACAGTTGGTAGGAGAGTTGGGGAAAATGAAGCAACAGAGAATGTATTGCATGGAAGAGTAAAGCGTTAACTCAGAGTATCAGTTTTCCTCCAATTGCCAGTATGTAAGGAAAGAGAAAGTGTTGTGATGTATTTTCAGTATGCCGTTGACACCTCACTATCAAGCCAACTGACTTAGGGGGAATAACTCATGTAAGAAACCTCTTTGAGGGTGAGGCTCTCCAACTTGGTTGAGACTACTTGCAACAAATGGTAGAAGCTGTAGCCTTTGGATATCTGGAAGACAACACTTTGCTCTTCATTTCTGACTCTTTGTAGTCTGATGCAGGGTTCCTCAACCTTGGCGACTTGAAGATGTGTGCATGAACTCCCAGAATTCCCCAGCTGGGGAATTCTGGGAGTTGAAGTCCACACATCTTCAAGTCGCCAGGGTTGAGGAACCGTGGTCTGATGGACAAGCATTTGCCTGGATGATCCATCAGTAAGTCCTTCTCTGAGCTCTTGTAAGCTCTTGCTTGCAATATCAGTGATAGGAAAGGCGGTAATTTCTTTTTGCTGATGATTAGGAAAGTCTACAAAAGGAGAAAGAGGCGGTGGGGAATATCCAGATACTCTTATTTCTTTGCTTTCAAGAATGTGATATTTTGTTTGGCTAAAGTTGGTGCCCTTCACTGGACAGACCTTGAACAAGAGACTTGCGATTCTTTAAAGACGGTGTCTCTGAAGCGTGGTTGTGTTAGCTGCTACAAGGAAAGGAAGCCTGTGGAACCTAGAGTAGTTTTCATTTCTTTCTTTCTTTTTTTTAAATGTTTTTGAACAAATGCTATTTAGGATTTCTGCAAGTATTTACCTATTGAAGCTTTTGTACACTTGTGGTGGGCAGTGTGTATTTATTCTGCATAGCATCTGGATACTTAATCCTTTAGCATCAGGTAATTGTTTTGAAGCCACTGGCTCGTATTTGCTCAGATAAGCACCCTAAATTTAGACATAGGAGGATTCACTCTGTGTCAACAGCGTCAGGAGCTCATTTGAACAAACAACACTGTCATAAAGATAAAATCATTTACTCCAGAGGAGGCCCCATGTATATGCTCCATCACGTAGCTCCAGCATGAAAGCTTATAATTCCTTATTTATAACAGTTTATAATATTTGTTATTCATTTTAAACAAGAGAGAAGAAAAACAGTTTGATCCTAATCATGTTTATCATCTGAGCTCCATTGACTGGAATTCCTATTTCCTTAGGGCTAAAATCTAAAATGAGAGCTGCGCTAGAGTCCGTTACGCCTTCTCAAAAGTTTTATTTTAAGATCCCCTTGGATCCCCTGAAAGAATAAGATATGCTTTACCGTTTAACTGGAATTAACTGGATTTTAAAATGCTTAACCATGACTGGATCCAGTTCCTCATCAACTGTTTTCTGCAAAGAACAGAACCCACGCTAAAATATTTATTTTTCTAGCGCCATATATAACATTTGTTCCTTCCAATTCAGTCCCTGTTTTGGATAGTTAAGCAAATCTGACATCTATGTCAGACGCCGGGATAGCACTTTAATTCTTGTATCTTGTGAACGCACAACTGTGTGATTCGGAATGATTCTTAAAAGAATCTGTAGCATTTCGATCAAACTTTTTATTTCTATTTTTTCTGAGAGATGCGCTTTCATTCTTTACATTTCCGAGCGAGTGACTTAGCGAAAAACAGAATAGCCGGTGACAGCTTCCTATAATCTGAGAAGTCAACAAGGCACAGAGATAGATTCTAATTCACATTAACTTTGGCTGGCAAATTCCACCAGTAACCCAAGAGGGAGTCCCATTTATGGCTTCCAGCAGAATGAAGCTCACCCTCAGCTGTGGGTCATGTGCCCTCTGCGCAAAGATAGCACCAACATTATTCCTTCAGGCGTGGCATTAAGCCATAAACGGGACTTGCTTTAGTCTGATTCATCTCATGGTGAGATGAACCTGGTCATTGTGGTTGTTCCACTCTGATTTATTCAGCAAGACATAGTTAAAGAGCAGTGTTGAACCCATCCATCTCATGAACTTTAGGGACTATTCTGGTGCTGCAGATACGGTATGGTTATCATCTCCTTTTGGCTAGATCTACTGCTAATACTCAGATGATTAAACTTGCAAGAAGAGCAAGAAGATGCCACGCTCTGTAACAGCTCGGCCATCTTTAAGTGGCAAACACCCCCAAACAGTATCCCCTTGACTTGGACAGTTTCTAAGCACCGTTCTAAAGAAAGAAATCCATGATTTAAAGATCTTACGTCATACATCTTCCCTGCCAGAGTATGAAAAAAAAATAGCATTCTCAAAATCAGGGCAGAAGGTCTTGTAGCCCATGAACTGCTTCATATGAGGTCTCTAATCAGTTTAGCCACTTCATATGCAAGAGGGCTGTAGGACAGGGTGGTTGCTCTTTGAGACCCGGCTGCTTAGTATATTTATTTAGGATCAAATTTTATTTGAGCGGAATCTCATACATCTATCCTGTTACAAACATTTTTTTAAAAAATACGGGATAGGAGTCATAGACGAGTAGTAAAATAATTGTTCTACAAGAGGAAAAAACACGGGTGGGGGGACCTACGAAGTTTATCCGTGTACTATCTTTATGACAGGTAACAATTACCTTTGATTATGCTAAACTCATCTTGTTATTCTTTGGCTCCGCCAGAAATAATGATGGTGATTTTTGCCTTTTTCTTCCTAATACTGCACCTGTGAATGACCAAATCATAAAACGTGCATATTAAAATGTTCAGAGGATTTGATAGATTATATCAATGACATCCAACCAAATGTTGGGCTAGATTAGTTTTTAATCATACTAAGAAGGAAAAAATCCATTGAAATCCAGTGAGTTATGATTTTAATGGATACTCTGAAACAGGATCCAATTTACCGTAGCTCATATCGTGTTTAAAGCCGAAATGGGCAGAAAACCGTTGAAAACTTTTGGGGTATAATCCAGATCCTATTGAATTCTGTGACAAAACTTTGATTAATTTACGGCTGGCCTTTTGTCTTCTATTTGCCTTAAGGGCAATACATTTTGCTTAAGTGCTAATTCAGAAAGGAAGTCTACCAAAACCAATTGATCAGTGCAATCTAAAAATATCTATCTATCTATCTATCTATCTATCTATCTATCTATCTATCTATCTATCCATCCATCCATCTATCCATCCATGAGCAAAATGAAATAAATTTGGTCCTTCATTGGTCAGTAACTCGGGTGATACACTCTCTGTATACCTTTCTCTGTATCCAGTAATATCAGTGCTAAAACACAAAATAAAAATAATGTTGGGACTCAGGTAAATAGGAAGTCCCCATAATAGATGCATTTTTTTTTTAATGAAGTTATTAACATGTGAGACTGCGTGATTGTTCTCTGCAGCACTCACGCTAGGCCTCTGGGTTTTTTTTTCTTTTTTTTAACATATATGGAAATATTGATACGATACCACAAGTGACCTTACTTTTAAATAAGGTTTGAATACGATCACCCAGGCTTTTTTTTCCCCAGCTGTTCAACATAAAGTGTGTTTATTCATGAAGTGTGAGTTGATATATCTTGCATGGATTATCTGTGCTGACACTAATAAACTATTTTTTAAAAGTATGCGCTTTTTTCTGAACTTATGTGAGTGAAGAAAGAAGGTTCAACAGCCAGAAATACTTTTGTCAAATAAACATCTTCTTCTGAATCTGAACCATCCAAAGTAAATGTGGAAAATTTATACTCTTTCTAAAAGAGCAGTTTATTGCCTGATTTTTCAGCTGAGCTAGGTCTTCTACTTGAGCTCGTTCTACAGATATTAACAGTACAGGGCTATCAGTGCATATAAATTCTTCAGGTAAACTTTCTTTGAGGTCAGTTCACTGGGACAAACAGCCTTATTGGCTTCCAAGAGATGTTTGCATGAATGATGTTGCAAGGAGAATTTAGATCTTGGCTTAACCCAATATGGCCATTTAAAAAAAGAAAACTACATAAACGCCAGCTTTCACACTATTACACAGAGGAAAGCAAATTGTTACGAGAGGAGCAAATTACAAATTACCTTCTTTTTAGAAAGGGAAGTGATTTCATGAGGCGGTCTTGAATAAAATGGTCCCATCAGTCCATACTAAGCTACATTTATACATTACCAGATATTTATGCTTGCAAGGACAGTTCTGAAGTCTGGGGGGAAAAATCTTCCAATAGCAATGTTGAAATTTGTAAACAATCCGTACATAATAAGGAAGAAAAATGAGAAACTCCCCAGTTTGAGTTGGACTTTGTTTCGGTGACTTCTTAGTCACCGCAGGATAATTTATTATAAATGAATTCAGGGTGAAAGTTTCCGTAATAGAGTTTGGTAAGGAAGTGGGAGCAGGCTCTGAGGATATCCTTTTTCCGCACGAGAGTACCCAATACTTTCAATTTTATACGCAGCGGAAGCAATTAATTGTAAGAGAAGCACAGCTTGGTTTCCTGTGGCTTTACATGCAACAGGAACCATTGTTTAAAGTTTTGAACTGCCCTACGATCTGTGAAACTTCATTGCTCTGATTGTTACGGTTGCTGCAAATGTTGGGTTTGCAGGATTTTATCACCATTATTTCTCAGCACACGCATTCCAGCAAAGTAGGGAAAGATGCAGAATTTGTCATTCACAGTCTGGAACCAGGGGAAATCTTAGTTAACGTGGCAGAATCCACAGTGTTTTCCTTTGCACTAAATCCAATTAAGTGGGATATAAAAGGTCCCTACGGTTTCTGATCATTTTCTTCACACAATTAACATTGATTTACCAAATTAATACCTTGTACAATTCATAGAGCGCTTCAGAGGCAAGCCTATCATTGTTAAATAGGATGTATGAGTTGATCTGGTGGATGTAAATATTCAGAGAATCTGAATGCTGAAAGAGGCTGGGTTTCAAATGCCACCGGGAGACGACAGGAACCTTCAGGGAAACCTGAAATTTGCAGAAATATAAACACAACTTTCAAAATAAAAATGTTTAGGTGGGAAACCCAACTCAAAGGGTATGAAATGCTGGCTATTGAAGAAGAGCAGACAGCTATTTATTTGTCTGAACAGAAACCTTACACACTGACATTTTACTGCAGACCTCACACGTTTAACATTTTAGAGTGGTTTCTTCAGGGTTATCCCTACACCAAGGTTACCTTCAATCAGTACTCCTAAAGATGAATCACGTGTTTCTTAAAATACAAATTTTAAGCTGGATTTCAAATGCAAATTAAAAAACAAGAAACCTGGGCTGCCGAATCCGGCAAATTCCAGCTTTTTTTGCATTCCCCAAATGAGGGATTTGTTGAATAGCCTTTCTCTCCCCCGCCGGATGGCAAGAAGGAAGGATGGGGGATGCAACTCTTGAGAGAAATCCTCAAGCTGGGCCTTCAGAACAGAGTGTGACTTCAGTGAACTTTTTGAACTAACCCATTACAGATAATTTCATTAAATGCATACGTGCATATCCATTCATAGGCACCCTTTCATTTGTGCTACAGAATTACACATGCATGCCCATATATCCTAGGTCGTGTTAATGTGGAAGTTTCCGTTCATTCTCCCCAAACTTATCTTTGGTTCCTCTATTAACATCATTCACTAAAGCATAATATTTCAACTGTTACCAACTTACGGGTGCCTATTTTTAAAGGCATCCAAGCCACCTAGATGGCTTTGATTCATCCTTTCTGACATACCTTTTAACTTTTTCATCCATAATTAAACCCACCGTTTCTCTGCACGTGTTCATCAACTACGCTTAAGAAGAATTTGGGCCATCTTTATTCAGCCTGTTTCCTCTTTCTCTTAGCATCAGACCCACTACACATCGATAAAATAAAACACTGGCTAAAATGTGCTTTTTCAGTAAGAAAGAAAAGAGAATTTTAGCTTTTACTGTATATAATAATGTGCCGGGTATCTTCAGCACTCTTGGTAGGGAACGGTTGTTAAAAGTATCAGGTTTTGTAACACTGGGCCAAACTGATCGTATTTTTATGTTAAACTAGGGCTAGAATTTTCCCTGCTGCAAAAATGTGGACCGCCATCAGATGGCAGAATATCAGTACTTTCCTTGCCACTCTGCTGCCCCCTGGCGGTCCCCTGCATTGTTGCAGCCCGCATCGGACAGCCCTTGTTCAACAAAGCAGGCATTCACCTAGAAATAGGATGTTTGGAATTAGAGAGGCTTAGGCATCTGTGGCAACCACTGGAAAAAGACACGCATTCACACCCAGTGAGAAAGCTTCATTTATAGCTAAATTTGTCTGAACTCTTCCCTCTGCGCTGTGCCAATCCCATCTCCCCCTGTGCCCAGGACGGGCACAGATCGCCCAGGGTGACCAGTCTGTGGTTTTGCACGTCCAATGTTTCCAAACGATGCAAAATCCTTCCCTTAAAGTTGGAATCTCCCGGTATAGAAACTAAAATGTTGCTTGGAAGGAGGACATTTTGGGTGGAAACTGAATTTCCAGGTCACCCCGCGGTCTTGGACGATCCTCGTGCAGCCACAGCCCACCCACCGGAGGACCCTTCAGCTCACAACCTGCTCTGGCTTCCCCGTATTTGCACTGCAAGGCCCATTTGCACATTACAATTTTCCTTCACCAGGATCCTCTGGGATTAGGAAAACAAGCCAAGAAGAAAAGGAGGGTGAAGTTTGTCTGGGTTAGGAGTTAATCCACCCAGGTGCTAAAAAAGGCTCAGACTTTACCCCCCGCCCCAAATTAGGCCTATGGCAACTATTCATAAGCCTCTGTTAGCGTGTTCGAAAGGAGATGCTGAAAAAGAGAGAGAGACACGGAATAAGCGCTCTGAATCCGTGGAAGGTCATTGGGGTGTCAGGTATTCAAATCCATAGATGCAAAATTGCGATTAATTCAGCAAAAGTCACTTCGCACGTTCGGACATCACGATCCATGTGCAAAAGAGGCAGCGTTTGTACACGCAGTGCTGTTTTCGTTATTTGACTCAGACCCCCCACGGGCGGGGGCAGCCTGCCTCCTTTAAAACCAGCGTGTCCAACACCGACAATAACGCTATTGCTTCTCCAGCTACGTCCAAGGGGTCACCGCCCTGGGGTAACGTCGCTGAAGGACGAGCAAGGGCGCTCTTCTTAAATGCATCGACTACTTTCGATGCTTAATTTCCTTTCCTTTTCCTCTTCCGAAGGAGGCGAACCGATTCCAACGCACCCAACTGGCGAGGATGACGTGGCCCCGGGACACGCGGCATCGGTTGCCAGCCTAGAGGCTGGGAGGCCGAGCGCCCAGACTACGTGCCAGGGGCCAAGAAAGCCAAGACGGCGGCCACGACGGTTGGGCCGCCACACTGCCTCGGCCATCTTGACCCTTTTGACCCCGTCCTGCAGACGCTCCTCTTGCCCTGGACGCAGGTTGACCCGGGATCCGACCGTCAGCATCGCTCGGAGCTCGGGCGGGAGGGAAATATCCTCTTTTTCCGTAACGTGCTGCCGAAGCGTTGGGTCCTTCGCGTGCCGGACCTGGGTTCCTCTGAACGTAAAATCTTGATTGATTAATTAATAGACTCCGTCGATCTGCTCAGGTTGGGACGGGCCTTCGACTGCTTGGCGAGAGATCGCGGCAACCCCCAGCCTCGTTTCATGATTTATGCCAGGTGGGCGACGGCGGCTGGCGCCTGGATGTTGCTTGTGCCTTAGCAAGGATTCGTGGTTTTCCGAACGATATATTTGGTTGTTTAACACTGATTCACACAACCCCGAGGACGGTTGGCTAATTTCATGGGCCTCTCGCGTTCCCCGCTCGTTCGCGCGTGGGGCTTGGGCCGGCGGCCTCTTTTCTCCCCTTCTCGAACGCGCTTCACAGAAACGCAGCAGCCCGCCTCTCTGCATCCCCATCTCTGCCAAGATCTCTGCTTGGCCTCCTTTCCAAGAACCGACGGCTCTACCGCATTTCACCCAGGCAGGGCGACCAGAATCATCTGCAATTTGGGACAAAAAAAACCCATTTTCTCCCCTTGGCAGCATTTTCGTGAGGGGGGGGGG